GATCGTGGGGGGGGGGAAAGTATATGCATGATTGTATGGCCTGCTGTTGAGACTATTCGAAGCGTGTCAAGAGAAGTCCATCGCGGTTTTTATCAATTTTCTAAGGGTCACGTGGGGAGTAGATCGCAGAGGTCGCGAGAAAATCACCGAAGTGTCAGAGAGACGCTCAGCATACGCCTTTGCTGGTTACCGAGTCTGCCGACCAGGCGGAGAAACAGAGAGGCTCGCCACGAACCTCAGCAGTCGCTTATGGACAGCGACATTACAGGACCGCGTAGCTTAGGACCACAACGTTCGGTGGTGGCGATCGTTGCAATCGGCATAAAAAGGACAGCGTACGAGGTAATAATTCTTAACACGTACTACTGTAAAAAACGAGTAGTATCTTTTATTACATTGAAATACCCGGTGGCGTCTTGAAACGGTTACCTAGACCTAATCTCAGGTGATAAGTATCCACGGATGGGGTCATGACAATGTCCGCAGGCAGAGTATACCATGCCTGAATAACTATCTTAAAGATGAAGAATTTTCGTCTCTCCAATCTTGCCCCAGTCACACGTAGAGCAGTGGCCAGCTGAAAGTAATCGTTGGATGCGAAGCAACAATCCTTACCTTGCAGCATGCGAAATGTCTGTATTAGGTCACCAGGTAGTTGTCTGTAAACCAAAGGAAACAACTCAAGATTGACCAAACGTGTATCATGAAGGAGGTACTCTTGGCCTCGTACTAATTTGGTTGTGCGTAGTTGAACAGTTTCAGGGGTTTTTCGGTCTTTGACTGTACAAGGTCTCCGAGCTTGGATGGCAAATTCCAGTTGGAGTCGCACAAATATACCATAGACCTTGCTAGATAACATTTCATCAAACTTAGCAAAGATGATTGATGAGAAACAAGCTGGACATTGCGGATTTGGCCACGCATTGTAGTGGGCCGGTGGAAAAGGTTCGCGAGGCCTGACATCTTTACGACCAACTTATGCGGAATGGATATTAGAAAGCGTTTATAA